ATAATAAATATAAATAAATAATAAATATAAATAAATAATAAATATAAATAAATAATAAATATAAATAAATAATAAATATAAATAAATAATAAATATAAATAAATAATAAATATAAATAAATAATAAATATAAATAAATAATAAATATAAATAAATAATAAATATAAATAAATAATAAATTAATTAATTTTTTTTGTAAACTATCTATATTCATTAAAAATTATTAAAAAAAAAAATCAAAAATTTTAACATATATTTATTATAATCTAATAATTAAGAATAAAATTATTTAAAATCATTAATAGTTAATTAATGGTTTATTGATTGTAAATATTAATTTTTATAAAAAGAAAAACAAGTAAAAAATTTTTATAAAAATTTTTAAATAATTAATTATAAATTAACTAACATATAAAATTTATTAAACAAATATTAATAAAATTATAAAATAATTTTATTTATTTTTCAAAAAAAATTATTTAAAAATTATAATTTTTTTTTTGAATATAAAGATATTAATAACATATATATTCTTTATTAAATAATTTATATTCAATTATATAACTATCAAATTTATTTAAATTAATCTATATCTTTACTTATAATTTTATTCAGTTATTTAAGTTTATCATTATTAAAATAAATCTATATATTTGAATAAAATTTTTAAGAAATAAAAATACTATTGCTACTTTATAAACTACTTAATCTAATATGAATTCCAACAATTGCTATTGAAAGCATGTACTTTTCAAAATTATTTAAAATATGTACTTAAATAATTTATTTAATATTTTTTATCTAAAATTTCAATAAAAGTACTATATTTATTATTATTATCTGTAGCTTTAAATTTTTTTTAATTGAATTTTCTTTTTTTAAACAAGTGTTAGTTTAAAATAACTCTAGATTAAAATATTTTTTGTATTATAAAATCTATTATACTAAATAAAAGTTATAGATTTTTATAAAAATTTATCAAAAATTTTATTTTATATAACATTTTCTATTTTAACTTATTTTCAACTTATAATTATAAGAAGAATTAAAGGTCTTATCTTTATATAATCTAATTTTATAAAATTAAAATTTGAAAATTTGAATACTTTATATATAAAAAAAATTGATAAACATATATATAAATAAAATTTTATAAAATTCTCATGTGTATTACACCTTAGCCCTTAAAAAAAAAATAAAAAAAATAAATAGAATTTTATATGTTTTGCTTATTATCCCTTAAATTATAATACAAAAAAATTTATCTGTATATTTAAAATTCTAATAAATTTTTAAGTATTAATTTTTATAAATTATTTATATTATAAAAAATATAGTTTAAAAAAATTTTTATTAACTTTATTAAGTAAAAAATTAAAATTTTATTGGAAATTTTCAAAATAAATAATTTTAAACTTTGTGTATAAAATTTAAATATAAAAAATTATATAAAATTTAATATACATATATTTAAAGTAAAAAAAATTATTTTACTTCTAATACAAGTTATAATTTTTATAATTCAATTATTAAAATTATTCTTTATAAATAATTCCACAAAACTGATTAAATTTATCTTAGATTAACTTTTATTAAAAAAAAATTTTTTTTAAATTAAAAATTTTGCTTATAATTAAACTTTAATTTTTTATTAAATAAATAAAAAATAAATATTATTAATAAATAATTTATAATTAAAACTAATATTATGTAAATTTCTTAAAAAATATTTTAATTATTTAAAAAAATAAATGAAAAGCAATTTTTTATACTTATTTGTAGTGTTTACATGATATCTTGAAAGTGAATTGAATTGCAATTTGAAAATATTCCTATAATAATAACATTAATGTTTTGCTCTTGACAACATGCCAATCACCTGTTATTCAATCTTGTTGTTTAGAGGTTCGAAATCAATATACTGTATTACGGAATATTAATGGAATTACCGCGAGAAGATTAAAATATCGATACTTTTAAAGATGATGTGTTGGAAATCTCCAAAAATAATGGTGCATGCACTATAACGCATAATTGCAGATACAGAACTTACAAACGAGTTTGTTTATTAGATCAGACATTACGTAAGTTCATCATTTCACGCACTATTTGTTCGTAAGATTCACGAAAATTATCCTCCATCACGCTGAGGAAAGTTAGTTTTCAAGAATAGCATTTTTCTTAAGCGTACAGTAGTAATATGCACCATTAACATTTATGCTTCCGTAACCGGGTGTACAAGTTTCAAGCACTTTTATGTAAGTATAGGATTAATACATTGTGTGCGTTTAAGCTGAGGAAGGAAAGAGTAAATTTCTGGCGATACAATCAATTGCAATTATCGATCTTGTTTGAGTACAAAGTTCACTTGCCGAATAGTGACGAAATGCATGTGTGTATACACACACTCATAAAAGCGCAAGATCATGCATTACCAATCAGCGATTTTTCTGTAAATCCTTTCCATTTTAGTGTGCACGGACGTGAGTATTTCTGCAGTCGGAAGACCGAGAAAAGGAAGTCAAAACGACCAATTGTATTATTTGATCCACGAAATACTGGAATAATAATTATTGTTAATAAAGAGGTTCCAGATTCCACAAAAATACACGGATTTTCAAAGAGATAATGGATAAATTTGGTATACACTAATGTCAGAGTGAGATCTCCGTGTTTACTACGAGACACTATTCATGTATGCTTGCAAGTTAATTTTTGGAAATGTGTATAAATAACCCGAGCGGGGAACTCTTGATCATCCTATCGAACTTTAATGAATTTTGTTAATTTAAAATTTCTTTCATCAACTCTACCTTACTTTAAAAATGATACCATTGCAATCTTTAAGATCACTAATATTTGGTATTACAACGGTTCTGTGTTTGTTGGTGGGGAATTCGCTAGGCCAAGATTCAATGCTTATTACACGTGGATACTATGATGACGTACCATATCGTAAGCGCGAACTTCGTTAACATCTGTTCTTTTTTTTGTGCGTGTGTTGTTTCTAACAATATGATAAACGTAGATGATGTAGCAGGATTCATTGTGATATTCGCTACCGCATTTGTGTTTCTGGGCCTCAATATAATTGCAGCTGTATTTTTATTTGTGCGAATATATATTAAATGGCGAAATACTAGCAGGTTATCAATGGCAACTAAGATTCCTTTTTATCTAGGAATTCCTGGTGAGATGATGATTTATGCTATGATACTAAGTGTTCACCTAAATCCAAGCTAATAAAAATGCATTCATCTCTATAGATGCTATATTATGTATTCTCCAACTTATTAACTATGTAGGTATGCACTTGCTGCACCGAGGAAATGTATGTTTTTAATCAACAAATCATTCTTTTCGGTCTCGAATACTAGACATACACGGTGATTCATCATACCCAACTTCCCGAAAAATCGTGCATCGCCGTGGCTGGAATGACAGTGGCTGCCACTCTCCTTCACAGATTCATGGGCATTATTATTTCTATCAATGCTTATATGAGGTAACCGTAAAATGTTGTTTAAAACTGCCGATTCATGTTCTCACTGTCTTTATACTTTACGGAAAATAGAGTGTGTTGGGATATCCATTGGGATTTTGGTAAACTCGATTGGAAGCTGTGGTTTTGTTCAGGGTCGATTGCAGTAGCTTTTACGGTTCTTGGTTCCCATCAGATTGGTGCTTCTACGTATTGGTATGCATATGTTCTCCTTATTTTTTTTTTTTTCTCCATCTCACATTTACTTCAAAATAAAAAAAAAAAAACAGGTGCTATATAAAGGGAGGTTCCACATACGTTCTTCTAGCCGGAGTTGGAGCTTCAATGCTTATGTTAGGTGTTTGTACTTTTTGCTATTTTCGAGCCTTCGCGGCCATACGAGTCGCAATGGAAGAAGTTTCCATCGCTAGTGGGAAAGAGGACAGTAGTCATCGATCAGGAAAACGTTCCCAAGTCGAAATTAAAGCGATAAAAAAGATTACCGGATATATGCTAATGTTTATTATTCAATGGGTAAGTAATTTCTCAAGATTTTCCTTTTTTTTTTTTTTTCAAGATTCGGGTTCACATGACTATATAATTTAAAGTTTCCAGTTTTTCCGTATGATGTTTACCAAGCTTTAAATGTAAGTGCTCTTACTTTGACTCAAACCGTAAGCTATACAATACAGTATTCTTCCGATTATTAATTTTTTAAATGTTCATAGAAAGATGTGCCTTGGACGTATGCATTGGCTGTGGCATCATTTAACCTTGGGGTAACTCGAAATTTTTTCTTATTTTTTAAGTGAAAAATTTTTATTCTGAAAAAAGCTCATTTATTCATCCTTTTCCGCTAGGGCGTAGGCTATACGATACTTTATGTTATAAATGAAGGCTATGACCCTTATGGCAAAGATTTATCATTGGATGGATTAGATAGTGACGACACTCACAACGCATCAAGTGGCACGCCCACTCCATCATCAGATAGAAAAGGCGTGGATGAAAATGGCTGCGAAGATGAGGAATCCACCATTTCCATACCTCTGCAAGAACTTTATCATACTAAATCATATGAAACTGAAACGATATTAGTCAAAATATCCACCGAAAATCAAAAATCGAAAAACCGAAATAGTAGACATCAAGATAGCAAGGAACGTCGTGGGAGCAGAAGATTCGGTGAGGCAAGTGGCGAAAGCGAGAACACAACCACACCAAATATTTCAGTTAGTGTTCATACGATTACCACACAGATCATATTATCTAAAGAAGAACTTGAACAAATTGAAGAAGCTCAAGAATCACATAATGAATAAGATTGCTTATTGTTTACAAAAAAAATATCCATGGTTAAGGAACAATGTTTTTGTTATACTATAGATTCCATCTTAATACTTCGTAAGAGATTGAAGATAATAAGAAAATGAATAAAACCCGATTCAAATTTTGGTTAATACTAATAACAACGTACCATGAATTACCGAGTTATCAATAGTTTTTTAAAACAACACGATTACTGTATTTAAACATTTTACTAAAAAGTCATCAAAATTGTTATTTTTTTTTAAAAAAAAAATAATTTTATTACTGTATTTCAAATGAAGAATAACGATACGCTTTTTAAAAAATCAAATATAATAATTTAAACATCTTATAACTACAGTACATGTATATACCAAAATTGTTTTTATTATACTAAAAAAATATTTCTATTCTCATCAATTCAATATTATTAAATAAATGAATCGTTGTTATCGTTATTTCATTTTTTTTATATATCATTTATGATTTTTACTATTACATAATTTATTTGCTATGATTACTTTTATTATTAGTACAATATTTTCAATAAATAAAAAATCGCTTGAAAATTCATTAATTGAAAGTGGTTTTTACGCGATAATAAAAAATATTTTTTGATTATTAATCAAATTATATTAAATAAATTTGTTTTTTTAAATAATGAAATAAAATCGAAACAAATTTTTTTATTATATAATTTTAATGAAACATTTTCTCGGGTAATGATTTGCTTTTGAAAATATAAAATGGTTCTTTATTCTTGTGTCGAAACATATACCGTATATTTTGTTTCAAAATACAAATTACACGGGATAATTATAAAATAAAACTTTTGATTCCAAAAAAAATTCGAAACAAATTTTTAACCGCATAAAATAAATATACAATATATCAGTTTTTGTTTTGTTTTTTTTCTTATACATACAGTATATTTTTATATACTTTTATTTTATTTAATTAAATTTATTATCACAAAATATTTGAATTATATACAACACAATAATATTCGATTGATTAATAACAAAAATGAAATATTCGAAATGCAAAATAAAAACAGAAATTCATAAAATTATAGGAATGGCAACTACTTGAATAATATATTTTTTTTTGTTTATCGCTTGAGCTGCCTAAACTATTTTATAATAGGATAATTTTGGTAGTTTCGTGAGTTGTTTAAACTGCTTGGGTCTTGTGAACTATCTTACTTATATCGTATAATTACATCAATCATAAAATACTATTACTACTAATATATTATGCTCTTTGGAAATTAATATTACTTACTGTAAATTGAGTGTGATCAAATACACCGTCTCCCAAAAAGAACGCAACACCTGATTGGCGATCTTTAAATGTTAAAATTTTAAATAGGATAAATCAGATTATAATAAAATTTATACTATAGATAGAATATATTTAAATAATGTATAAATTAAAATAGATATTAAATTAATAAAAAAATTTTTTATGATAAATTTTAAAAAATTTACTATTGTAATATTTTTGGAGTTTTTTAAAAAAAATAAAAAATTTTATTTATTTATAAAAAATACATATATATAATTATAAAAATATATTTGATTTCTATTATTATCTTATATAACTACATTTTGCCTTAATAATATCATTAATTATTTTAGGCATTATTTTTATATATTCCTTACAAGTTTTTTTAGATGTTTCATTCCAAATCTCCAATAAATTATTCCAGAGAGTTTCTTTATTATTAATATTAATCTCTAAATCATTAATTCTTCTTTTCACATTATTCCAGATGTTTTCTATTGAATTTAAATTTGAAGATTTTGATGGTCAAGACATAGTTCTAATTTTATTATTTTTTAACCATCTTTAAACTATTTTAGCCTTATATTTAGAATTATTATCATGTTGAAATATAATATCTTTGAAAGTTAAATTATAATATCTCGATGAATACATTAATTTTTCTTTCAAAATTTGTTTATAAAGTTCTGCATTAAGATTTCTTTCAATTCTAGATAAATATCCTATGTCATAATAAGTAAAACATCTCCAAATATTAATACTATCTTTATTAAATTTAGTTGTAAGAATTATATGTTGATTCATTAAAGGTTTTGTGGATTTTCTCCAGCAATATTTGTGTCTTTTGGCTCCAAAAAATTGAAATTTAATTTCATCAGACCAGACTACCATATTCCAATTTTCTATAGTTCAATTTCTATGTAATTTTGCAAATTCTAATCAGATTTTTTTGTGTTTTACTTAAAAAAGGCTTCTTGTATCATGTATAAGCTTTAAATCTATTTTTCTTAAGAATTCTTTAAATTGTGTTGACACTAATATTTATTTTTTTCATATTTTTTCAAGGATCTATATATATCAATGGTTGTTTTGCATTCTCCTTTTAGAATTTTTCAGATAATAATACATTCCTTATATAGAGTAAGTTTAGGCAGATGACCAGGAATATGTTTATTTTCTAATTTGTTTGTTTCAAGATATTTTTTTTTAAGTCTAGATATAGTGGAATAATGAATATTATTGCTAATTTTGACAATCTGATGTAAACTATAACCTTCTTCTAATAAGTTAATAATCTTTGCCCTCTTCTCTATAGATAACTGTCTTGAGGACATTTGGTTTATACAAGGTTTGAGTAAATTTTTGCATTTT